CAGCCTTCACAGTCTCTCTCCTATATAATTTGAAGACACACTTTCTTCCAGGCAGACCTCGATGTCCTTAGAGGGACATTGGCCCAGGATTTCTCAGTTAACCGCCCACAGAAAAGACTGGCACTTGGGTCATAACTCAAGACTTTATTATAAGTTAAAACGAAAATTCTAGTCTTAACCTGGTTGTAACTCGAGAGTCCACTGCATTTGTAGATGGAACCTAATTGGAGTTTCTTCCACTAGGTCCCTGGGAGCATGCCTTTGAAGGCTTTCTGCTGTCCCCTGCCCCTTCCTCTCTTTCAGGCTCCTCCTCTCCTTTCTGCTTCCCAGTTGCCATGGAGTGGGCAGCTTTCCTGTCATGTCCTTCTGCCATAATGTTTATACCTTGAAGCCAATGACCATTTATGAGTTCTCTGAAACTGGGAGCTCAATTAAACGTCTCTTCCTTTAAGCTATGGGTGTTGGGTATTTTCTCCCACCAATGCAAAGCTGACTAATACAGTGATTCCTAGTAATTTTTCCTTCTTTATCGCTTGGGCTATATTCTCCAAAATTTTTAACAATGAACATGTACTATGATTTGAGTGTGTCTCCCAAATACATGTGTTGGAAACTCAATCCACAATGCAACAGTGTTGGTGGAATATGGGGGCACGGGAAGTATTTAGGTCATGATGGCATTGCCTTTACAGATATATTAATGTTAGTATAAAAAGACAAGTTTGGCTCTCTTATGTTTATTTGCCCCTTCTGTTACTCTAGGAAATAGTGCTCCTCTCCGCTGGAGGGCACAAGATCCTGATACCTTCATCATGTACTTCCCAACCTCCAGAACTGTGAGAAAATAAATGTCTTGCCTTTATAAATTACCCATGACACGGTGTCCTATTGTAGCACCACAAATGGACAATGACAATATCTGTAATCACATAAACAGTAAATACAAAAGAAAACATGGCAAAAGTAAAATGGACATTTTAAATATTACTCTTTAGATTGCTAAGCTTTAAAAGTCACATTAAGAAACGCAAGATAAGTTGGGAAGACCTCTTGAAGATATTAGCATAGGAAAAAACTTTATGAACAAATCCTCAGTGGCACAGGAACTAGCACAAAGAATCAACAACTGGGATCTCATCTTTTTTAAAATTAATTTTATTGATACATTTCTTGTATACAATATAATTACATTCATTGTTGGAAATATTTATCTTTACATATCCATCTTGGTTCTTATTTTTTCCCCATTCCCTTGCCCTCCCTTCACCCCCTCCCTCCCTCCCTATCTACAAAGACTTGCTTTCCATTTTTTTCTTTTTCTCATATATTTTCCTTTCCCTTCCTACTTTTCCCGGACCCCTCCCACTTCCCCTACTCCTTTAGACCTTTTCTTCCTATTTCACATTATCAATTACACAATGTGATCTTTATTTACAGTTTTAGTTTTTAACACTAGAGAAACTATTCGGAATTTGCACGTGTGACTATTTCACTTAAGAGTATGGCCTCAAGAAAAAGATGTCTTGTCATGTAAAGGTACAAGATCCCAGTAATGAATGTAACTGTACTGTATACCTAGAATGTACCAATAAACTCAATTTAAAAAAGGAAAAAGATGTCTTGCTCTCAGCAAGGATTCTATTGGAGTTATCTGAAATATTCCAATAGAAAAGGATTTCTGACTCAGAAAAAATTTGTTCATCCATATTGAAAAAAAAGGTGATTAACTTTCTTATAGAAGTATCATGGTTGCTTGAAACTATTTTTCTGTAAATAAAAGATAACAAGACAATGTCCACCTTTCTAGATCAGACCATAAATTTTTTTTCAACAATATTACATCACAGACAAAATTTCTAGGTTATAAAACTTTCTTTTCCTTAAGGACATGCTTTTTCTTTATTTGTATATAATATTTTAATTTAAAACATCCATTCGTAAGAATAATAGGTATCATATTTTTTATGGAGGTCATTTATCCTTCAATTAAGTACTGATGCATAAAATCGAGGAGGCTATTTACTATTAGCCTATGTAAACTGAAAGGGGGGAAATGCCTTACAGAAATTTTTAAATAAACTATTAAAAACACACTGTACATGGAACATACTCTCCAATACAGCTTTCTTATATTGTAATCAGAAATATAAGGCCAGGGATTTAGCTCAGCAGTTCGGTGGCCTGCCTTGCAAGTAAAAAAAAAAAAAAAAAAAACACCTGAAAAAAATAAACCAAAAAAAAAAAAAAAAAAAAAAAAAAAAAAAAGAAATGTGATGATGGGATTTAAACAAAATTCTTTAGAAATAATTAGGTTGATCTTTTCAAAATAAAACTGTCAATCTATGATGTGTGTGATATGATTATATCTTGCAACAAAATAACATATGTGTTTATATCACTGGTATCTAATTACCTCCATTCTCCCTTTTGCTTGTAGAAATAACAAATCATCTCTTACAAAAAAAAAAAAAAGAGTATGGCCTCAATGTTCATCCACTTGGCTATAAATGTCTCTAGTTTCTCATTCTTTATAGCTGAATAGTACTCCATTTTATAGAAAAACCACATCTTCTTTATCAAGTCTCCAGTCGATGGGCAATTGGGCTGTTTCCAAGTTTTAGCTAAACTGTGCCACTATAAGCATGGGTGAGAGCCGGGGATTTGGCATAGTGGTTCTGCTGCCTACCTTTCGAGCACAAGGGCCTGAGTTTGATCCCCGGTTCACAAGAAAATAAAAAAATAAAAAATAATAAACATGGGTGGTCATATATCACTGTGGTATGATTCTTTTAATTCTTTTGGGAAGATACCCCCCAGGGGAATAGCTGGATCAAATGGGACATCTAATCCTAGTCCTTTGACATATCTCCATGCTGATTTCCATAGTGGTCACACCAGTCTGCATTCCCACCAACAATGGAGAAGGGTTCCTTCCTCACCACAACTCCTCCAGCATTTGTTATTGGTTGATTTCTTGATAGCAGCCATTCTTTCTGGGGTGAGGTGGAATCTCAGTGTTGCTTTCATTTGCATCTCTCGAATGACCAGTGATGTTGAACATTTTTTCATATGTTTATTTGCTATTTCTACTTCTTCGTCTGAAAAATGTCTGTTCATTTCAGATGCCCACTTTTGGATTGGGTATTTAAATTTGGGAGATATAATTTTTTAAATTCTTTATATATTCTAGATAGTAGTCTTTTTCTGAGGAAGAGCTGGTGAAGAATTATTCCCACATTGTGGGTTGTCTTTTCACACTGCTGATGGTTTGTCTTGCTGTGCAGAAGCTTTTTAATAAGAAGAGATCCCACTTGTTGATTGCTTGTGCTAGCTCACAGGCAACTGAGATTTTGTTCATAAAATTTTTTCCTACATCAATGTCTTCAAGAGTTCTACCTAACCTGGGATCTCATCTTTTTAAGAAATAAGATCTCATCTTTTTAAAAGAAAAAATATGAGAAAAGGAAAAGCATGGAAACAAAATCTTTGTAAACAGGGAAGGGTGGAGGGGGTAAGAGGAGGGCAGGAGAATGGGGAAAAAATAAGAACCAAGATACATCATGTAAAGGTACAACATCCCAATGATGAATGTAACTGTACTGTATACCTAAAATGTACCAATAAATTTAATGCAAAAAAGAAAAGAAGGGCAAGGCTGGCCCCAAAACAGAAACATCATGGCAGGAGGGCATGGCAGAGCAATGCTGCCCACTGCACTGCATCCAGGAAGCAGACACAGTAGGAGAGAGCTGAAGAAATGCCCCAAGGTTGTGCCCTGTGACCTGCTCAGAAATGGGCTTTACTAATCTCCTAGGCCAATGATAGCAAATCTTTTAGTGCTCAAACTATAACCCCAAACCCACTTACTTATAGCAAAATGCCAATGCAGCAATTAAACCTGAATGCTGAGGTTTTAGTTTAAAAAAATGATTCATACATTAATATCTTTTCTTTTTAAAGAAAAATAAATAACAGGCATGCCATAGGTTCACCACCGTTGTCCTAGGCCATCTTTGGTCAATCAGGTTGACCTCACACTTGCCTTGTGAGATTTGAAAGAAATTTTGCTATGATAGATAATTGGAATTCTTCTTTAAATCTGCTCCTTTGATTTGTTTTATTTAATGTGCTTAGGCCATTTGCATTTAATGTAATTATTACATCAGGTTAAGTCTGTGGTTTATTTTTAGTGCTATTTTGTTTTGAGGTCTTTGTAGCGGGGGTTGAGATAGGGTCTCACTATGTAGCCCAGGTTGGCCTTGAACTCACTGTGATTGTCCTGCCTTGGCTTCCCAAATTCTGAGATTACAGGAGTGTACCCCTCATCCTCCACCCATCATATGCTATTTTTAGTGGTTTTGAGTATCTCTTTGCTTAACTGTTTTGTTAGGAGTTCCTCTATATTATAGAAAATTTGTCACAGTCTTCTGATGTCATCATTCTACTAGTTCAAGTACAGTTTTGATGCTAACCTTCCTCTATGTCTCTTTACCATCTCCCATTTATAATAAAAGTGTACTCACTACTTCTAAAAAAAAAAAAAAAAGAAGGGCAACCTGACTGTTGGTGCTTATGTGTTCACTTCACCCCTGTGGTCTAATGAGGTAGCCACCAGCACAAAGGGGCACCAGCAACTGCCTTGTCCAGCCACCCCACTTCAAGCTTTCTTGTCACTTTATATTAAATCGGAAATACCTCCACCACTGGCTTATCTCAAGAGCAAGACTAGACTCTACTTTCAATATACTGCAAACCTGCTATGAGCAAAACTTTTAAAACACAATTGAAATGCTTTAATATTAACAAAATTAAAATTCAATAGCATGATTTGAAATTACACTAGAATTAAACTCCCAATGAGAAATCTGATAGATTCTGGACAAAAAAGAGCAGTTAATGATGTCAGGCAAAAACAGTGGAAATGCTCTATAGGACAATCAATGCAAAAATATAGTTAGGACCATTTATCATAATCTCAGACTGGAAAATTCTTAGTGAGAAAAGGACCAAAAATAAGAAGGATTTCAATTGACTGCTGTTAAGTGCAACAGTAATAACAGGACTATTCCCACATATTCTGGTTCTCCTCTTTCTGGGCACACATGTGGTAGGATTGACATTTCGCAACCAGTGTGGGGAAAGTAACTTACCACTTCCCACTTGAGTTGTCTGAATCCTTCCTTTGGCCAATAAAGCATGCAAGCAACGAAGGAGGCTGACGCCACTGTGGTCATGGCTGCCTAGAGAAAGACCGAGGGACCAGCAGTATGAGTGATACCAGGGAGCAGAGTTCCTGAGACCTGGGTCAGGCATGCAGCAGGGGCAAGAAATATGTTTCTCTGCTAAGCCACTGAGATTTAGGGGTTATTTGTAACTACAGCAAAAACCTAACCCATACTAACCCATACTGTTATTAGCCCTGACCATCAGCTATCCTTGATCAAATTTTTCTAAATCTTGATTTCTAGTAATAGAAAGTTTTGTTGTTGGCACCTGCCTACTTACAAAAGGAAGACTGTTCAACGTTTCAGAGGACAGTGAGACCGAGTAGCTCACAGAGAACAGCATAAGCTTTTTGAGTTAGAAAAATAAAAGTATTCCCTGGTGTGAATATTCTGCAACAATGCATAAGATTCTAATAAGATTACTGACATTTAGAAATGGGAGGAAAGGAGCTAAAGGTGTAGGGAAGGTGTGATACGTAGGGGGAGAACAAAAAGGGAAAAGAAAAAAATGTGAGAGAATGAAAAGATGAAAATAAAGCGTTTGTAGATGGGGAGGGGAGGAGGGGGTGAAGGGAGGGCGGAGGTAAGGGGAAAAAATGAGAATCAAGACTTGCCATGTAAAGGTACATGATCCCAACAATGAATGTAACTGTACTGTATCCCTAAATGTACCAATAAACTCAATAAAAAAAAAAGTATTCAAGTGCTGACTACTACTACCTCTGCGTCATGAGCAAGTCATTCACTTCTCTGAACACCAATTTTCTTTCACCCGTAAGTTGTATAATACCAGCAGCAACAATGTGTCAGGGTTATTCTGAGGATAAGAAAAGAAAATGCATATAAACCATTTGGCAGAGTGGTTGAAAGACAGCGAGTATTCAGTAAATGAATATCATCATCATCATTATTTCTCAGTGTGTATTTACAATCTTACTTTTGAAATACCATAAGGTCAATGACTTGTTAACCTTATGGTACCC